CATTGGGCCCAGGCTTAGCTGGAAGAAGAAGAGGAGAGGGAAAGGTGGGAGAGCTGCGGGGAGGGTTGATACTGGCCAATATGGCAAAATGAATGGACAGGGCCCATGGGGTAGTATGGGTAATGTGGGAGGAGTTAGAAGTGTAGGCTCTAGAGCCAGGTGGTCTGGGTTCAAATCTCAGTTCCATCATTGCTTACTAGATGTGTAACCTCAGGTAAATTATTTTGCCTCTATGCTTCTTTATTTTTAAAAAGAGTTAATAACAATATCTACCTTGAAGGTTGTTGTGAGAATCATAGTATGTAGTGTGCTTGGAAGAAAACCTGGCCCAGGATATGTGCAGAAAACATGTTAACCTATATGTTGATCATCATCTAATTCAGTTCATCTTAACCATTGTGTACCTCTGCCGTGTCAGGCCCTGGCCAGAGCGTCATAGGTGAGACTTGGCCCATCTTGATGGCAGGAGCACCTAGTCCTCGTGGCCAGTACGAGCTGGACAGCATGACTGCCTGCCTGCACTGGGGAGATCCAGAAAGGTGGTGATAACTCTTACTGCTGTCCCTGTGGCCCAGGCTTTGGGGTTCCTCACTCTCCAGGTCTGGATATCTCAAAGATCAACCTACACTTCCAGAGAGCTGCAGAAGAAACCATGAGACTCATGCAGAAGCAGCCTCACCTCAGACAAGCACAAGTGCCACCGTCCTCTGCGCATGATAGGCCAGGCGTTTGCACTCTTATTGCATCCAAAGCAAATTTAGGCAGATAATACTGAGGCGCAGAGAGATGTGGTGATTTAAGCAAAAGCTTACCACTAGGAAGAAGCAAAGGTAGGATTTGAACCCTGCTCTAACACTGCCTTCCTTTCCTCTCACCACACCTACAGCCACAAGCATTAATGAAGCGCAAATAATAAGCAAGAACCTAGGCTAAGGGCTGAGAAAAATGGTATACTACAAGCAGTTGGTTGAGCACATGCTATGTATCAAACTCTCCTGAAGGTTATCTTGCTGAATGCATTTCTGAAAGGGTAGTGGCACCATCTTCCTTTTACACATAAAGAAGTGGAAGCTCTGAACATGCCCAAGGCAAGCACCATTGGATGATTTGAACTCAGGCATGGTTCCCAGTCTGGCACATCCCTGGGCCTCTTGATGAGCAGCCTCCCTTTCTTTTCTTTCTTTCTTTCTTTTTTTTTTTTGAGACAGGGTCTCATTATGTAGTTGAGACTGACCTGGAACTCACTATGTAGCCCAGGCTGGTCTCGAACTCACAGCGATCCTCCTGCCTCAGCCTCCTGAGTGCTGGGATTACAGGCGCGTGCACCACCACACCCGGCCAGCCTCCCTCTCTAACAGGGCTTGCTCCTACAAATCACTAACATGGCCTCACTACAGACGGACAGAGACGTGGAGTCCTCTTCCCTCTGAGGGTCATGATGCCTTGTTCCTCCCCCAGTCAGACTGGTTTGTATTTTGGGGCTCCATTTTGCATCCTCCCTCCCTCCTCTAGGCCATTGTCTGGACCGCAGATTCTATGGCTTTAAGGACCAGTGACCTCACAATCAGTTGCCATAGAGACCATTGTGATGTCACAAAGCAGAGGACAAGTAGTTCAAGGAGGAGTCAGGGGTGGGAATACACGGCTATAATTGAGAGCCACTCAGGATTTCTTCTTGTTTTCCGGCCCAGAAGATGAATGGCTAGGAGCAAGTCTGAAACCAGCTCCTGAGGGATCGTGAGGGAGACCTGACCAAGTGTCCCTGTCAGCGCACGTGGGCTCTCCTGAAACCAGGATGCCTCTGAGGCCCAAAGTAAGGGGCAGTGAAAAGCAACAGCAGAAAAAACCCCACCATTTTGGGGCTGAAAGAACTGGGTTACTTGTACAGCAGGAAGGAATAGGATTAAGTACCAGGAGGATTCAGGTGGCTGGAAGATCTACGTGGAGGAGCTAAAGCATCCTTTCCTTAGGAGGCACACACCACGGGGGAACTTGGCCTCAAGGATTTCCAGAGCCTGGTAGAGAGAGCCCATGTTGTGTTACAGTGGTTGAAACTGTTTTCCTTCCTTGGCCTGGGTGCTCCTTGAAGACTCAGCTTCTCCAGGAGCCAGCTCAGGTCCTGGCACACACGAAGTGCTCAATAAATGTTCCTTCATTTGACAAATGAGTGGGAGAATGATAAAGGAGATGGGTAGGTGCTTGGGTAAGGGACAAGTGAAGAAGCCAGGCACAGTGGTACACACCTTTAATCCCAGATATTCTGGAGCCCGAGGCAGGAGGATGGAGTTTGAGGCCAGCCTGGACAATTTAGTGAGAACTTGTCTCTTCCTCTCCCTCAACAACAACAACAAAAAGACGAGGAAAGAGAGGGGCAAGTGGACAGGCAGATGAGGAACCTAGATATCGTGCACCACCCTCAGCTTTAGAGCTCTGCACTCACCACCTCTCTAGTTACACCCACACGGTGCATTTCCTCCTCTTTGCCATCCAGGCACACTAAACCACCTCAGTCCCACCCTCCCACGCATATGCTGTACCTGCTGTGTAGAATGCACTTCCCTTCCCTCTTCACATAATTTATTCTCATCTTTTGGTTTTTTACTCAATCACCACCTCCTCAGGGAAGCCCTCAAATCCCCACGGTGGGTGTCCCCAGAGGGCACCATGCCACTTTACATCCAGTCAGGTGGTGCTGTGTCCTGTCTCTCAAGCTAGACTGTGACCTCTGCATGAGCAGGAACAGGGTGTGCTTTCACTCAGCTTTGAGCTAGGGATTCAAACTGGGTACTTATTAAATATCTGTCAGATGAGTAAATTAATAAGTAATCAACCATCCCTACTGCTCCAAGCAGCCCACATTCTAGGCTCTGCTGCGGGGAGAACATCTGGACACAGGGTTCCTGCAGGAAACCTTGGGAAGTCCAGGGGACCTGTGGTACCTCCAGGTACCTCCTTTTCCTGCAAAGGCTCACTGGCATCTGGAGCCTCCTGAAGCCTCAGTGTCTTCATCTGTGTAATGGGGACAATAAATAGTACTGTATCAACCTTATAGAATTAGTGTGGGGATGCCATTAAATTCCCTGGCTTTATGCCCAGCAGTAGCAAATAACAAATGGTAGCTTTTTTGTTTTGCTTTTTTTTTCTACTGGGAAGCAAACTCAGGACCTTACACTTGCCAGGGAGGTGCAGCACCACTGAGCTAAATCCTCGGCCCAATTTTATTATTTTTAAATTTCAGAAAAAACCCACTGACCTAAGAGACTGACTTTCTTTAAAATGGGGAATATACAGAAATGTTATGAATTTTTTTTAAATGCACATGGGCATCTTTTTACCTTCTATAAAATGTGAATCAGCTATGAGTCCATGCTTTATATAATTGCAAAGCTTCGTGCCTGGGTTTGCTCAAAAGGAAAAACACAATTATCCTCTCACATTTTTCAAAGTAATGCCCCAGTCTTGTATCAGGCATATGAAGGGAGAGTGTTCTTCTGTTCCCAGCTTGACTCAGGGTGAGCACTGTTAGGGGAGGGGGTATGGAGCCAACCCATTTGGGATATTTGCTCACACTTCCTGCCCCCATCTTGGCCTAGTCTGCAGAGGTAAGTAGAACTGGCCTTAGGATTCTGTAGGTTGCCTTCAACCTCTCCCTGACAAAAGGAGACCAGTTTTGGGCTGGGGATTTAGCTCAGTAGTTCCACCACCTGCCTCACAAGTACAAGGACCCAAGTTCAATCCATGGTATAAAAAAAAAAAAGAGGCAAAAGGGGAGCAGCTTTGGGTCCATGGTACCTCCTTCCTGCATGCTATATGCGTGAATATACTGTGGTCTGTTGACCAAGACTCCAAGACTCCAGGTCAGGCCACCTAAGCAAGAAGCCAATTGGGGGCATGGGGTAGCTGACTTCAGAAGACAATTCAGATGTATCTGAGGGGTGGGGTGAGCCTCAATCCTCCACCTCATTCCCATCACTGGCTCCCTGCTGCCCCCCTACCAGGGGAAACCCACAGGAGCTCACTCTATCTACCTGGTCACCTACTTCCTCATCACATGGCCCTCAGCCTGGTTACTGGGTCCCCAGCTCCAGAGTGACACCATAAAGCCAATGCCTCTGGACAGATGTATTTCATGTAAGTTCAAGCACTGAAACTATTGAGTTCAGAGGATTTTATTTGTAGAGCCCGCTATATTTCTCTGGGATTATCACCTGTCTTGGTTCCCCTCCCTTTCCTGGTTATTATCTTTGGACTCTTTCCAAGCCAAGCTGCCTTGATTGCTCAGGGAGACGAAGGCTCCCAGATCCTTCCATGGTATATCTGGTCTGGCAAAGGGTGACCTTGGAGTACTCTTTCTTCTTCCCTTCAACATAACTCTGCAAGTGGCTACAGTGCCCAGGCAGCCGTGGCTTTTAGGAGCTGATTTCACTAAGAGATTCTCCAAGCATCAGGGAACATGTAGGCCTTGTGCCCCCCAAGTTGGGGAGGGCTACACTCAGAGTAAGCCCTGGGGTCCAGAGAGGAGGGAGAAGGCCAGCTGTTCTCTTTCCTCCACCGTGCCAACCTAGCCTGACATCAAATTAATAGCATTCAAATGAGATGCAAAGCATTATGCAAATCTAGAGGAGAAGGCCACTCTTACCAGGGCCTTTGGGCTGTTGGAAGGCCAGTGCCTTGAGCCCTTTGTGGAGGATCCCACAGACTCCCTTCAACTGCATCCCATGTACCTTCAGCACCAACCAATGATACTGGCTCTCTGCTCTGGTGCTCACTTTAGCCTCGCCTCCCAAACACTCAGGGCCGGCCCCTTCCATTCTGAAATGATGCAGAGGCAGCCTCAGAGGTAGTATGATCTCCCTGGTTTCCCACTCATCAGCAGTGTATGCAAAGTAGATACAGGGGGTTTTGCATCTATTTAACTGTCCATTAAAATAGCTCCATGCAGGTCACCTCTGCACAGGCTCAGGCTTCCAAATTGCCAACCCCTGCTGCCTGCAAGCACCATGTGGTTCCTGCGCCTGGTAATTGCTGTGGTGTTTGTTGAGCTGTATTTGCATTTGATTGTCATTTAACTTTCCATCTTTATCCTTCCATCAAATCAGGGCTTGGGCTTCTGCAATTGATTACTCGTCTTATTTTCAGTCCCTTGGTGGTTTTCAAAGAGTTTTCTTTATTAGTGCCACAAACTTGAAGCTGGGACTTTTCTCCCTTGACGTAGAGAGAGAAAGCCTCCTCCCACCCATTCCAGGGCTCCTACATGAAAATAATCTCACCAAAGTCACAGATCTCAAGTCCTATCCCCAGTTTGCCTGCTCCAGCACCTGCCTCTTTCTGCCCAGCCCGTGGCATTAAACATTTATGGAGCTGTGGAGGATCAAAGGCCTTGGCTGGGGGTTGTGGGCAGACTGGAGGCCTCAGTTTGGAGATGGAAAGTAGCTCACATCAAACCACTTTCTGCTGCTGGTTCCATCTACGCTGGGCTCTTGCTACAGCTGATCTGGTCCCACTCTTACAGTGGGAGGAAATGCTCAGAAGCCAGGACGCTGTTCATCAGTCTCCTGTGCCTAAATTCAAAGGATTGGTTGTGGGTAATCCAGGACTCCAGGCCTGGCAGCTGCAAGGTCAGTAGCCACAATAAGAAGTATGTTGGGGTGAGCAGGCAGCTTTGTGCCCCTGCAATGTCTGAAGTGAGGTGGCAGCCCCTGTCTCTGCTTCCTAGAAAACCCAAAACTCCTTTTACTCCACAGAAGATACAGCTCTTGCCAGATGTGGTACTACGTGTTTGTAATCCCAGCACTGTGGGAGGCTGAGACAGGAGGATTTCAAGTTCAAACCCAGCTTGGGCAATTTAGGGACTTTGCAAGAGCTTGTCTCAAAGTTTAAAAAAAAAAAATATATATATATATATAAAT